GTCTGCCTGTCTCACTCTCTTTTTCTTTCCCGATCTCTACCGCCTCTGTCATCAGGTCGTCGCCGCCTATCTTCTCTACTTTCGTCTTCAGGGGGTTACTTAGAGCTTGTATGAAATTGTGTGATGACTGTGAAGTTTAAACTCTCCTCATAGCGGAAGTGAAACTAAGCTATGGTGTCTTGTCCCTTCTGTTCTCTCGAGGATCGATGGGAATTGTTTAGGAGTTCATGTACGTTCTTTCTATGCGTGTGTAGATGATTTTGGTTCTTACTTTTTGTATCCGATCGCCAAGTTGTCCAAGTCTCTCTATAATGGACCGACTATCGGGTAATGTTCATGGCGGAAGCTGCCCATATCCATGCGATTCGTCTGAAATACGAATGCTTGAAGCCGTCCTTCCCTCAATCGATCCTTTTCCTGTCTCTCTCTCTCTCTCCGTCTCTTTTTGTCTCTCTCTCCCTCTCTCCCCTACTCCCCCCTCCTGACTATTTTTCTCTTGCGCCCTTCTTCTGACTATTCTCCTGTTGCCTCCTCCTCCTTTGACTATTCTTCTCTTGCGCCCTCCTGATTATTCTTCTCTAGTGCCCTTATCGGTTCGCCTGCTTTCTCTCGCTCATTTCGTAATTGGGAGAGCTCGTCTGGAGGTGGGTTCCGATCCCCCCCTGGTTTGAGAGTCGATATGAGACGCCATAGTCGAGTATTCGATAACCATGGTTAATATCTATTATCCGGGGCTCTGTCAAAATCGATTGGCCAGTATTCCTCTTGTTAATCAAGATGACGACTTAGTAAGCGATCAGAGTAGTGCTGGGATATTTCGAATGATTGATAACAGTATGATCAGAGTAGTCGACAACCATGGTTAAGATCTATTATCCGGGGCTCTGTCAAAATCGCCTGGTCAGTATTCCTCTTGTTACTTACTGTAAGATGACTGAGTAAGGTGGTTGAGAATGAGCAGCGCTGGGGTGTCTCGAATGTGTGATAACAGTATGATCAGATTCAGAATGAAAATGCACACGAACTCCATGGCGAAGAGGACGGTATATTAACGGTGATCGTGGCAGAGGACAGCGAATTGATAGAGGACAGAATACGCGTGGAAGAGGGAGGATAGCCAATTGACAAGAAGGACGATTGAAGCACATGTGATACTGGTAGTCATGATGATGGTGATGATTAGAGAGTGATGGTACTACCGGTACTTGTCATAGATAGACGGATTGAGATTGGTTCATATTGGCGACGACATGCGCACCAACATCGAGCGATCCCATGGCCGAAACGAGCTATGGCGTGATCGATATGATGGTGAACATAGTTGGCATGAGGAAGGTGACGGTCGTGAGAGTCTAAGGATTTCCTTGTGATTGACAAAGAGCTTCTGTGTCGATGAAGATCGATCGCTACAGCCGACACGACCGATTGTCGTTTTTCTTTTTTTCTTTTTTCCCCCTATTTTTCACTTATGAAAGGTTCCAATTACTCGATCGGTTTTGTCGGATATGAGTGATGAGATTGATTTCCATTTGACAATCGAGAGGATCGATTATGAAACGTGAGTGGCGACACGATTGATTGCAAAATTAGGGACACGTTCGACATGACTGGTCCCGGCACCGATTGTCCTTTTTTTTTTTTTTTTTTTTTCGCGCATTTTGAACTGGTGAAAGTTGCGATTATACGACCGACGTTCATGTATTTTTTGAGTGACGATGTTAATCTCCTCGTTGCGGTTGATCGCCATATGAGCGGCACGTCGCTCACGATAGCCATATGTGAGTGGTAAGATTGATGTCCACGTGACGATCGACATGGTCGATTTTTATGTACGAGGTTCATTTGACACGATTGATCGTTCGTTGTATTAGGGACGAGATCGATCCTTGTTGTACTCGGCTTCCATGTTTTTGTCTTTTCTTATTTTGTCGATTGTGGAAGGGTCTACATACACGACCGATTGTCGTATATGGGAGCGACGAGCTTAGTCTCCGCGTTCTGACAGATCGCTATGTGGGTGACAGATCACGATAGTCATATGTAATTGAGTCGAGGGGACTATTGATGGCCATGTGACTATCGAAACGATCGATTGTCGTACATGGGTGACGTAACGAGTGATCACTGTACGCATCCCTGTACCGATTGTCATCTGTTTTTTTGTCTTTTCTTACTTTTCACTGGTGGAAGGTTTCATTGACACGATGATTGCCAAATACGAGTGACGAGATTGATATCGATCACCATGTGAGCACATGTGAGTGATAAGATTGATGTCCTCGTGACGATCGAGACCAACGATTGTCATATGTGAGTGACAATCGACCAACGTTTTTGATCGGTACGTTAGGGACGAAGTCAAGAGATCGATCCCTGATAAGCGACAAGGAATGCGACACGTTCACATATATGATGTGTGTGTGTGTGTGCGAGAGAGAGAGAGAGAGAGAGAGAGAGAGAGAGAGAGAGAGAGAGAGAGAGAGAGAGAGAGAGAGAGAGAGAGACTATGACGTCGCCACTACTTGCGTTTTTTTTAGCGGATCGGAGACTTAAGTCCATTCATTGGGTCCACTTCAAATGCCGGTAACGAGTAATGGTGGAAATCCCTCGTCAAGCTTGACGCTGAGCGCTTATTGAGACTCGTTTTCCTTCTTGTTCAAAAAAGAGAGAGAGAGAGAGAGAGAGAGAGGGGGGGGGGGGGGGGGGAGAAAGAGAGGGAGAGGGGTGGGGGCGGGAGAGTGAGAATGTAACGTAGTAATGCCCTCCGACGTAAACGTTCCAATCGAATGTAAGAGTCTTAGGCCCCCTCTGAAGCAAATGAATACAGACACGCGCGACGCACAGATTCATCCACGGCGGTAACGCCCCAAAACGCGGTAGGTACGGGGTGTTAGGCCCCCTCTGAAGCGAATGAATGAATACAGACGCTCGACGCACAGATTCAGTCACCGCGTTAACGCCTAGAAACGCGGTAGGTACTGGGGTTTTAAGCGTAGGAGTGTGTCATAACATAGGGGGGGAAAAACCAGAAAAAGAGGAGTTCAATCGCAGGTGTGTCTAGCGGTGATAATCTTCCGATCGAATGGGAGAGATTTGACCGTAGGCGAGTGCAGTGGCGGCGAGCTTGCAACCGAGCGCGGACCAACTTTCGGTCTCCCGGGGCCAAGTCCCACTAGCAGCGTTGGGTTTGCCTCAACGCCCGAATCTGGTCGTGTTTTTGGAGATGTGCGGTTGAGGAAACTCGAACCTGCAACCGTCTTCCCCTGAACACAACGCACCCTGATTACGGCTGTACCGAACTGGAAATTTAGCTTGTATACATTCATTTTGAGGGTGCGTTATGTTCGGGGGAAGACGGTAGTGGGAGTTGGCCCCTGGAGACCGAAAGTTGGTCCGACAATGGTCAACCTGAATAGGAGGATGATTAAATGTTGTTTTTCCGTCAACGGGCCTGTGGGTTGGATAGAATACTTTTTTGTTTTATCTGCGGCCGGTCAGTTCAAAATGACGATATCTTTTTTTTTTGTTTTTTTTTTGTGTCGGTGGACAGCCATATATTTTTCTTTCACCTCACATATTTTCTAACTGGTGTTCTGCCATGTCATGGAACATATCTTTCTTTCACTACCTACCTACCACTACTCCGAAGGCTATACAGTAGAGAGGTAACGTCATGTTTACCCCTTTGCCCTAGCATGTTTACTCCTTTGCCCTAGCGTGCTTACCCCTTTGCCCTAGCATGTTTACCCCTTCGCCCTAGCGTTTAGGGTGCAGGGTTCGGGCCGCCGGTGGGGGCCCGGCTAACAGAAGGGCCGGGCATTTGTTGCCAGCGAAAGGCCGTCGTGTCCTTGGAAGAAGAAAAAGAAAAAAAAAAGAATCCGGATAAGTGGGACTTCGCCTCTGACGCAAGTAACCAAGGTTATGGTTCCCGACACGCCGATTACTGTCATTTCCCCCCAAACACAACATACCTCGCTGATGAATGTATGGAAGCTATCTTCCCTGTTCGATACATTCATGATGAGGGTGCGTTTGACCGGTGAAAGATGTGGGTGGGCAACGCCGGGCCGGAGTGTCTGAAACTCGTGCCGAAGTAGAAAGTCATGCCCAGATACGTAGAACCGTGCAGCAAGTAGCTGGGAAGTAGCTGGGCGAACGCAGTGGAGAGAATTACTACCTTCTTCCCCCGAACATAGCGCATATGCGTGGTAGAGTACAACGCATAGTGTGCGTTCTATTCGAATACAAGCCTGAATTGTTGAACTACCGGTAGCTCAGTTGTACACCTCGAACTGTTGAAATACACCCCTGAACTGTTGAAATATAGACCTGCGTACGAACTCGCTGGAAGCAGGTGAGTAAAATACTGCAACTGCCCATAAAAGCCGTGTAATTCCCCCTACCCCGTTAAATTCCTGTTGAAAAAGAAATGGGCGGGCTCCCGCCATTTTTTTTTTCAACGGATTGGGTCTGCGGGGGGTTGGGTACAAACCCCAGCACCCCTGCACGATTACACTGAAAACAAAAGAACCCCCCACCCCCCCCACCCCCCCCCTTCCCCCCTCCTCCCTTCCCCAAATTCCGTGGGTGTGTGGGTGTGTGCGTGTGGGTGTGTGCGTGTGGGTGTGTGGATGTGGGTGTGTGCGCGCGTGTGTGGGCACCTACACACACACACACACTGAAAGTCCGACGAAACAGTATGTTCGGCACAGTCATGCTTTTTGTAAGTGTACAGCGAATATGACGACACACACACCCAATATGACAACACACACACATACAGAAAGGAAAAAAAAAAGAAACGCGGGATGTCTTTTTTGTCTGTTTTTATGCATGTGAATTTTAAAATATATATTTGAAGTTGAAAATATAAAAATAAAACATGGGATTGTAGATTTCGAAATGATCTACAACCCTATATTTTTTATCTTCTTTGCCCACTTTTTCCCTGTGAAGAAATCCTTGTGGGAAAAAAAACAAAAAAAGAACATTTCATCTATTTTTTTCTGCTTTTCTTTCTGTTTCTGTTTTTGATTTTTTAAAAATATATTTAATTTGAAGATGGGAACATTATAAAAAAAAATATAAAACCGTATATATATACCAGTGTTTGGGACGGGCGGAACGCCCGAACCCGAACGCCCGAACGTATGGAACCCCTTGGGGATGCGTTCGGCCGTTTGGGGCCGAACGCAGACCAAAAAACAAAAAAAAAAACAATTCAAAAAAATCTGAAAAGAGCATATGTTATGAAGAAAAGTAAAATAAACAACATTTTCACAAAAGGTCATTGCCTGAGCATTACATCCAAATTCCTTACCAAATTTGAAATAAAAATAAGATACCGAAAATAAAACCAATAATAATAATAAAAAAAAAGAAAAGAGAACTAAAATTAGTGAGTGAGAGAGCACGTTTTTGACACCGCCATCTTTGGGCGATTTTTCATTTTTTCGTGGCACACAGCCAGATGCCCTGAAATTTTACAGACGTGTACTTCACATAATACAAAATGCATTTAAAAAGTTTCAAAAAAGAATAATTTAGGCCTTGCAATAAAGTGAAAACAAAAAGTAAAAAGTGAAGAAAAAACAAAATAGTGAGTGGGCGAACACGTTTTGACATGGGGATTTTTAATTTTTGTTTGGCTTCAAATTCTATAGGCACGTACCTCACATCATGGAGAACTCACAAAAAAAATGCAGAAAAGAAAATTTATTCTTAGGCCTCGAAATATCTTTTTGGCGAGGGCCGAGAACGCCTTCGGGTGTGGACCCCGAACGGACTCCGAACGCCCATAGGTATGGAGGTTGGCCCAGGGACCTCGTACGTATGGGCTGGTGACCCTGTATGTATATTTATATATGTTTTGTGTAGTCTTTGTCAATAAAAAATATCCGTGGGTGTTGTTGATATGCGTCAAATTGGCTGTTCACCACCAGTTCAATGCAGATTCAACGTGTGTTAAATTATGTAGTATTCCGTCAAATTGGCTGTTCACCACCAATTCAATTCAGATTCAATGTGCGTTTAATTATTTAGTATTATTTAACGCGGACCCTACATTGAATCCAAATCCAGACACTCAGCTAATTCTGTCTGGAGATCTGTCAAAGAAGTCATGGTGTGAGTCTGCCGTGGATGTATGTTGGCAATTTTTTGAACGAAAAGCAGAGATGAAAAGAGTCAAAACGTATAAGTAGCTGAACGCTGAGTTCGCTGATGCTATGAAGTGGTGTAAAAAGTACTACCACAAACGTTCGCTTTTGCAATCAGAGTGGAGTGCCCTGTTATTACAAATGAAAACCTTGGGCGTCATTATGATTAATCAAGCTTGTGGAACCTGCTTGTCTGTGGTCCCTGGTATGCAGTGTATGTGTGTGATTCCCGAGTCGAAAAAAAAAGAAGGTGAAAGGAATTATGACCGCCAAAGCAATTGACTGTTCTCTCTCTCTCTCTCTCTCTCTCTCTCTCTCTCTCTCTCTCTCTCTCTCTCTCTCTCTCTCTCTCTC